CGCACGCACGTTTCCTGACACGCTTGAGTGGGGGCAGATCTTTTCGGCCCGGCGCACCCAACAGCTAGCAGTTGCCAGTAGCTACCATGTCGGTGGCTCTCCATACGGACGACGGGCGCTTCGGGAAGTGTGGCGCACATGATGACGACCACTCCGGCGGGATCCTACTCATCGTCACCCTGTCGCTCGTCGTGGGGGCCATCGTGGGTGTCCAGCTTTGGTGCAGCTACAAAACCTGGGGTCGCCTTGATGGGATGACACACCGGATGGAACAGCTGACGAAGGCCGTCCAACAGATCCAGGCTTTGGTTCATGTTGAACATGGGCTTACCCGGCCAGTCGACCGAGCTCTCCTGTGACCTCCAGGCGCGACTCCAAGCAGTGATGAACAAGCTCATGCGGACAGCGGAAGAGGTTGGTTCTGTGCATGCCATGCATGCCAACATGGGGAATACCCTACGTACCCACCAGCTGGAGCTGCAAAAGCTTTTCTTGCAATCCAAGCGAGATATCGAAGCTACCCTGCAGCAGATCCGGACCAAGCTGGGGGACCATTCTTGACAAAGCCATTGAGTCGGCTGCCAGTAAGTCCGACCGCGTGGTGGAGTCCATGAAGGAGCAGATCAAGGCTGTGTATGAGGAGATGATCACCTTTCTGAGCCCCCTCAAGCGAGCACAGGAACAGTTCACGACGGCCATGGGCAGCCGTTTCAATGATGTGCTGAAGGAACTGGCCAATGCTGCCTACAATTTGTCGAAGCAGAGCAAAGACACGGCGGCTCAAGCTCGCTGGATCCAGCACACCGTGGACCTGGTGCAAACGAACACGGATCATCTGCCAGATAAAAGGAATTTTGTCCGGGGTCTCCAGGAAAACATGTGGGACTCCATCGAGCAGATCCAGAAGGACATGGCCGCCATGGACGCCGAACGAGCGGAAGCCAGCTCGCCCACTGACAAGCGAGCGAACCTGCAGCGGATCGTGAGCAGCAGCAGCAGTGGACCAGACCAAGTCCGCCACCGGCGGCGGCGCCGCCTACCATGCTGAACTTGGACGAGTCCTTGCCGGTTCAGCTGTCAGGGTCGCTCGCCCGACAGAGCTATTTGCTACCGATCGTGCTCCCGGATGGTCGTACAGTTTTCATCCCTCGGAGCCTCGGAGTGTCCTCCAACAGATGCTAGGGCCAACGCAGTTAATGTAGGCAAGATGTGAATCGCGCACAGTCTGGGCTCTGATGTTCTCCATATTACTTCTTCCATACTGCGGTTTGCCTTCTGCTTGACACAGAGAACAGGGCCTGGAGGGCGGTTGACTGCGAAGGTAGAGGGTCTCTTTTGGTCCGAGGGAGCTGTGTTTTTCACAGCCACACGGACCCGTCTGCATTCGAATTTAAGCATGCCAGCAATGGAATTTTATGCATGATGCCGGTGCATGAATTTGTGAATTTAAGAATTTTGAATTTGGAATTCAGGAATCAACCCTCTGCGGACAAGCACACTCTTACATGACACAAACAAGGGGTGCGGTGCGCCACGGAGTTCTGAAGCCTCACCCCCCCTTTTTCCCCCATCATACTGTTCCTTGATCCAGCCGAGCGTCTTGTGCGCACGTGTTTTAGACCCCCTCCCCCTCCTCCTGCCCGGGAAGCCACCCTTTGTTCCGATTGTTGTTACGCCCGAAACTCATCGCCCCAACCACCAAGTCACCCCGCATCACATCCTGGGCAGGTGACGAACACGGCTGCACAGGCAGCTTTCCACGCCTCGCGTTGCCGCGAGGGCCGGGCCCTGTCTCCCCACCGCCCCGGAGGGCGAGTCGGCCTAACAATGCCTTTGCTATCCTAACCTTAGGTCCCCCCCTTCGTTCTTCGTTCGTGGTTTCAGGGGTCCTTAGTTAGGTCCTCCCCCACTCGGGTTATAGAAACCATTGACCCGCGCTGATGCCGCCATGGACGCCCTCTGGGATTGCTGCACCTCACTGTCTGTACGCGCTGCTTTTGTGACCAAAGGCTCATGCTGGCCATCGAGTGCCACACGAACAAGGGCCCCATGCTGGCCGTGAGAGAAGGCTTGGTGCCTTCCCGGTTTTCGCTGTTAATGGCTTCTGGCAATGGGGTTTTTCTGGCTACTGCAGTCTGCGAGTCAGGAATGACCTGATGGACGGTTGCAACAAATGCACGAGCGAGTTGACCTCTCCTTCGGGTTCAGCGGCGAGACGAAGCTGGCATCCACTGCTGGCCAGAGATCTTGCGGGGAGAGTCCTCACCCCATCGTGGCCTGCCTGCTGCATGTGGAATTTGAAAGAATTTACTGCATGGGAATTTGGGAATTCAGAGGTGCGTGACAGCGACCGCTGGACCAGGCAGCTGGTCACACCGGCCACCCTTTAGCTGTCGCAACGCCGCAGCTGCACCTGGAGAGGGAGGGGATCGCCGCCCACCTGGTGGTGAGGGGGGCAACCCATCTCCCAAGAAGCAGGTGAAGGGAGGCAACAAAGAAGGGGAGCTCGGATCTGCGAAGGGTACAACAAGGGCAAGTGCGGCATAAAGAACCTCAAGAAAAGTGCAGAGACCCGTGAAGTAGTCACCAATGCAATTAATGTTTGCCTTATTCCCCAATGCAATCAATGTCTGCCTTATTGGACCTCACTGCGCACTTGAATGCCGGCGCAATCGGAACCACGCATGGAGGCCGGTATGCTGAGCCCAAGCCCAAGGCCAGGGCAGCCCCGCGAGACGCCAACCAGGAAATCGTGGATGCCACGGCCCAGTCAAAGGCGTCTGCAGTGGCCCCGCCATCGTCAGAGCCGACGCAAGAAGCCAGAAACCACCGCCCCGAGCCGGGCTCAAGAGAGGCCGGGGGTTCCCAAAGCGGTTGTGAGGGCATTGGCCAGCACGGGACTCCGCCGCAGAGTCTGCCCTGGCGCCCGGCAGGAAAACACAGCGCCGCGAAGTCTGCCCCGGCAGCCCGCAACTGCGACTAAGAGCCTGGTGCGAGTGCCCTTGGCGGAAGGCTCTCGACTCGAGGTCACCTGGATTGAGGTTTTTTTGACAGCTCGGTTCAAAGGCCTCGGCCCGGCTGACAAGACCAAGCTCAAGGTCAAGGAGACCAATGAGCTGATGATGCTCTGACCAACACGGCATCTGGGCCCCGTGCACGGCGATAACAGCCCGGAGCTGTGGCAGATGCCGCTTATGCACCAGCTGGCTCAGCTGCATCGTTTGGCCTCGCCACGGTCAATCTACAGTGCCCATGCCAAGGTTTCACTGAGTTGCCGCTCAGCTAGGGCCTTCACTTCTCTGGGCCCGGTCGAGTCAAGACTCAGCTGTAGGAAGCCATGTCTAGAAAGGCCAATGTGGAGCCATTCTGCCTCACCCCCGATGGATGTGCACCCTCATGGGAGGAACATACCCACATGGGCCACGTGTGGACGGATCAGCTGGCTTTAGCCTGCGGGGTAGCCAAGCAGGCAGCGGCCCTTCCTTTGGACAAGCTGGCCACCCTAGCTGAGGATGCGAGAGGATGCGAGGTGGCTTCGGGGCCGGTGCCCCCGGTAGTATCCACCATTGTGGCCTCCTGGTGGATTTTGCGGGATCAGGCATGTTACAGTGGACGACGGGACACGGACTGTGTCTTGGTTGCTGCCCTCGTCGTAAACCGACGTCGCAGCTTTGGGCGCCACGAGGAAACATTCCTGCTCTTGCGGCGTTTTACCTTCGACGATCTGCCCTTATGATCTCATGGTCGAGCTGCTCAGAGGCAAGGGACCGGATGATCGCGGCCCACAATGGCGCCCGTGCCTACACAGGCTATTCGGCCCGCGCCAGCGGGGCACAACACCTTGCTACGCGCGAAATTTGAGCTGTGGACGGTCCAATTTTTTGGAAGATGGCACGAAGAAGACCTTCTTCGCCGCGCCCGCCCCGCGTTAGATATCCCAGAAGCAAGCTGGAGCATGCTGGAGCGAGGAATGTCAACCTCTAGTGACACCTGCGGCTGCCCATCCGAAGGGACGTAAGTTCCTCATGCAGAATGAGGCCAGAGGAGGCAAAATCCACAGACGTCTTACAGCCTTTTCGCAGCCGCACCTGGATTTGAACCAAAAGTCTTGGAAGACTTGCTGTCGTTGTCCCTTCGACCCTCTTCGGGTCCCGGCGAGGCACAAAGGACGCAAACGCAAGCGTTGCTTCCCCCGTGAGCGAACGGCAATTCCCAAAGCACCAGCTCCAGCCCTTCGAGTTCAACGAACTCCAGCTCATCGAGCGGCAGTTCGTAACCCTGTTACACCCCTAGCACGCAACCGCCCCACAGCAGGTCGCAGATACAGGCGGTTGGTCAAGGTCAAGTGGGTCTCTGCCCTCTTGAGTTTTCCGGTGAATCCCGGACTAGCAAAATCCAGCAAGCAGAGCAGCGACGTCACGACCAACTGTTGAAAACGTATCCCTGTTGACTCTGTGCAGTGATGGTGGTTCCTTGGGAAGCGGTAAAGGATTACGGTGGGGTCTAATCGTGTCATGTCCGTGGCCATTTTGGTCTCAAGGACGACACCCATTCCATTGATTTTCCCCGCCCACCCACTCCAGGGTGTCTCTGCCCTCTTGAGTTTTCCGGTGAAAGGCAGATTGCCCAGTCTGCTAGAGTCAAGATCGGCACTGCAATTTGATTCTTTGCTCTAGTCTAGGGCTGGCGGATTGGGATGCCGTGCGTCATGCCTAGCAGTCGCTGGGACCATCAGTTCGTGACACACGAGACTTCCACTTGGGGCTTCAGTGCCGGAGTCGAAACATAATCGAACAACACAATGTGTATTGAATTTATTATATTGACCACGGGTGGAAAGAAGCATCGATGCAGTGAGAAAAAGCTTCTACAACCAGAGCATCGCCTTTCTGAAACAACATGTGCATGCGCCTTGAACCCTTTACTGTACATTCCTGGTACTTTCTTCCGGTTGACGGAGGACTACAATATCTATCTATGCTCGTTTACGCTTGCTGCAGGTGCTGGCTGCTGAGATGGGTTTCGGCACATCCTTCGTTGAGGCTTCTGACTCTGAGTGGCTGATGATTTTCGTGAGTTTCTTCCGGAGAACTGCCGGCGATGGTGCAGCGGCATCTTAAGGGGCAAGGCCAAGGGGACGGGGGTAGGGGGCCTGAATATCCCTGATCTGCGTTTTATTGGGGTTTAAAGAAAATTTCAAGAAGCCTATTCAATGTCCCGACCCCCCGTCCCCCTTACCCCCTTAGACTTGCTGTTCCTTATGGAGCAAAAGTTGTGCACGCCGCCAATCCGCCTAAGGCCAGAGGCAAAGGCTGCGTGTGGATGACGCTGGCGAGCACGGGGCCAAGTCCGAGTGCAAATGTAGCAGCAGTCGAGAGCTGGCCCAAGCAACGAAAGACATTTGCTGAGGTCACGGCAAGTTGCAGTACACTGTCGACGGAGCTTGCCGCCCTCCTTTCTCGAAGATGCGGTTTGAGGTGCCTTGGGTCAGAAGTCAAAGTAGCATGGTCCAGTCTCACTTGCATATTAAGCCCTGTGCGGGGCTCAGTAGTTTTACAACCTCGGTTTAAATGGGTTTGCAACATGAAGGCCCCGTGCCGTGTCTGGACGAGTTTGGGATCTTCACTCGGAAGTTCTGGCTGGGTTGAGACTTCATTCACAGGTTTGGGACCTTTCGAAGCCCACAGCGGCATCTCCATGCAGCCCTTTGTAGGACAAGCATTTCGGCGCTGAAGCTCCCGATGCTGCTGCTGCTTCTAGACAGTATCTCGCCCCTCCTCCTTCACCTCTCGCATTCTCGACGATTGTCGGACTAGGTGATGCTAGGCGAGACGGAGGTGAGTTTGAGAGACGCTTGCAGGACTCCTTCGTGCACTTCCCGGAGCTGGGAACGACGGCCAAGCTGCCGCAGGCCAAAGCGGCCGAATTGAGGCGCAGCAAGGTGGAGTACAAGACACAGTCAAGCAAGCCAGCCTTGCCACCAGGGCGCAGCTTCAAGAGCAACCTGGCATGTTTAGCCAATCGATTCCGAGCTTCGAGCTGGTGTGAAGTCTTGTGGTCGAGCTTCAACCAAGTCTTGCGGTGGCAGCATCTGTGGCCGTGCAGTTCAGAGATTCGAGGCTCGTGTAGTGTTTTTGGGAGGAAGCAGATGTCGAGTGCACCGGCAAGTTTCCGAATGTGTTCATAGTTTCACTACTTGCCACTTTTGGGATGGGCCTGATCGAGGGGTGACGTGCGGGTTTTCTGTGCAGATGATCGACTCTTGCCTTTCCCTCAGCTGGGACAGAGCTTCAGCGAATCCACTAAGTGCCGGTGCATCACCCGTACTGAGCGCCAGCCTGCAGCCGCTGCACAGTCCCCAAGGCAGTGCTCATTGGACGGGGATGTGCAGCCGACTTTTCAGCAGATGACCTTCACACAGGATGGCTCCGTGGATTTCCCTGAAATAGGCCAGGCCAGGTCCTTTGGTATTTGAAGGACGATCGCTTGAGAGACATGGCAGGGCAGTCCTTCCAGCTACCTCTTGGTCTCGAAAGCCCGCTGAGGAGCCCCACCCAGCCTTTGTCTTCTTGCCGCCTTGCCTGTAAATGTCCTTGAACCCGACCGACCCGACCTCAGGATGCAGCTCCAGGAGCTCGCTTGCAAGGCCCACCTCGGAGCGGCTCGGCTGTCTGGAGAAGCGAAACCCCATCGTTCGCAGTCAACCCAGGTCATGTTCCACGGTGCCAGAAGAGACCTCCCTTGCTTTTTTTGAGGGTGGAGGCTGTGATGATTACATATTACATGTGCGAGTCCCATGCACGCGGAGGTACCGGTGGATCCCTTCTGCGCTTTCATGTGAGCTCTCGGTGCCTACAGCGCCCCCGGCTGGTTTCGGTTGCCACGAACCACACCATGTCTGCACTGTTTGCAGAAGGACATGTGTCGAGCCCTTCGCATATGACAGAACTCTAGCAAGGGCACGTGCCAGGTACACCGTGGATGGCGCTTCCAAGCCGCACAGATGTTGTGGAGCGATTTCAGGCTGACTTGCGAGCCAAGTCGTGGCGTGCCCCGATCCAGCAGATGTGCTTTTGTGAAGACGGACGCCTTGAAAGCACTAACGGCTAGCGGCCACTTTCGTCGGACAGACCCTGAGCCTTCCTGGCCTGAGGCCTGGTCTCTTTTCCGGAGTTGCAAAAGACGGTGAGACTGCCAGAGGAAGATGTCGAATCTCTCAGGACCTCGGCTCGCTGCTTTGAGCCCTCTGAGCCCTCTGCACAGTTGCAGAGTTCTAGGCAGACGGAGGCAACTGCAAGCGGACGGCGCGATGCGAAGCGAGCGGTAGTACCGTCGGGCTGAGACTGGTGCAGCGAGTCAGCGAGCTGGACTCAGGAGATCTCAGGAGTTGCCAACTTGTGACCTACACTCGAGACGTGCTCCCGAACGTTCTGCTTGAATGGCCCTCTCTGTCCTGGCTTGAACTCCGTGTGGAGTTGACACAGGCCTCAAGCATGCATGAGTGCTCTATACAGGACACAATGACATGAGCGAGGCACGGTGCCCGAGCATGTCTCTAGAGGTGCAGCAAGGGGCCGCCAAAGTGGAGACGAGCCCCAGGCCAGGACAACGATACGACACAAATCGATCGCACAGTCGATGCCTCAAGCAACCAGTCCAGTGCGAAGTAGGCACAACCCAACAGAACTGCCACGAGACTCCTCCGAGTCTACTCAAGTCTACTCACTACTGCCGCTCGAAGCTTTGTCTCCCGTGGTGCGCGTCCGCCTATGTCAATTTGGGGTCGAGTATCGAGGATCATGCTCCAAGACCTTGCAAATCTTGCTGGCCTTGGGACTTGCTTCGCCCTTTGGCCGCCTTGGCCCTTTGTTTCAGGCATTCTCTGAGCATTTCTTTGAAGCTGCGAGTCGTCTACAAAGGTGGATCCTCAAGGCAGAAGGTCCATCCGGGTGTCCATTGCCGGAGATGGCCTCCTGCAGCCACCCGGCATCCCAACTTCTGCACGCGGGCCTGCGCAAGATGTGAGCGAGACACGGCATTCACGACGTCCAGGGACAGCTGTCTCAAAGCACATCCCGTCTCAGTCAGGTACTCGGTGAACGGATCTTGGAGACCCTGCTTCCACGAGCTCCGTGTCCGGGAGATGACCAGTGGTAGAGCTTCTTGTGAATAACTTTGATCGGAAAGGAATGCAGGCCCTCGGGGCCTTGTGCAGCCGGAGGACGGTTGGTTTGAGATTCCGGAGTTGGGCAAAAGTGCCAAGCTGCCGGACGACCAAGCTGCCTGCAAGCAAGTCCTGGGGTCGATGGGTCGAGGGGCTGTGACATGCTGGAATTGCTCCTTTTTGCCGGCGTAGGTGACAGCCTTGGCCCATCGCCTCCAAGAGCTCCAGCAGATGGCATCCCTCATGTCCCAAAGGAGACCGCAAGGACCCGTCAGGGATTAGAAGAGCTCTGCAGACACCAGCCAAAAGCTCAAAGGACAGTCGGAGACCGGCCCGGCGCTGTGGCTCGTAGTAGATGCTGGCTGTGTGGCTGGGCGCGCTTGAGTAGCATGTCAGAGACCTCGGCATTGATCGTTTTCACGGTAGAGTACCACAAATACCTTCTTCGTATTGTCCAGCTATGTCCATTCTAAACCGCAAGCAAACAAACCCCCAACTGCACCGTACCATGATGTCTGCATGATGTCGATGAGACATGATGAGAGCAAACTGACTGACTGCGTGCGGGCGGGCGGGCGTGGGCGGGCGGGCGTGGGCGGGCGGGCGTGGGCGGGCGCGTGGGCGTGGGCAGGCGGGTGGGCGGGCGGGCGGTTGGCGGGTGGCGGGTGGGCGGGGGTGGGGTGGGTGGGGTGGGAGCGGGTGGTGTGGGTGGGTGGGGGTGGGTGGGCGGGTGGGGTGGGTGGGTGGGTGCGCGTGCGTTTGTTCATGTTGGAATGAATGCTCCAAATCCGAACTTCTCGACAAGCCACCGGCTAATGATGAATCACACACTCCAGAATTTCCAAATTCGTGGCGCTCACTATTACCGAAATTCCTGACCTTTGAATCGTTAGCATCTAAAATAGGTAAGGTGCTCATAGGATCGAAACTGTCTCTCGGACCCAGCTGGAAAGAGACTCCACCAGTGGCCCAAGCAGACGAAGCAAGTGCAACCTTTGGTGCCACCACTGCTTCTCCCATGACAACATAAAACCAACAAGGATGAAGAGTACGATAGTGAAGATTCAGAATTTAGAAGGGTGAGCAGAACAGAGGCTTCGGTAGCAATGCGCAAGGGCAAGTCTGAGGTTCAGCTCACGTCTCAAGATTGGGAGTGAACACCCCATCGACCTCTCTGCGGCAGCGCGCGACTGATTCTTGGAGTGCGAGGACAGCATGCTCAACAGGAACTAGTCAGGAACTTGACGTCACGGCACAGCCAGTATGAGCTCAACTCTGGCCGCCAGCTGGCGTGGCGACCTTCTCGGCGAAAGCTTGCTGGATCTGGAGTGGTGCACATCCTCCAGAGTGATCTCAGAGATTCAGATGGAGCAGATCCTGTGCTGACGGGAGATGCACGATGACTCGATGACGCGCATGGTGCTCTCAGCCCGCACCTTGTGCGGACACACGCGATGTGAGGTGAAGTGATGGAAAGAAAGCACCCAAGACAACTTCAAGACAACGGTTCAGTGGCAGAAAATATTGGGGCACTGGCTTTGACCGTCTTCAGTTTTTGATTCTTGAATATTCTTGACAGACTGGTTGCAGGGCCGGTTGCTACATGTACATCGACGGCCAGCAAACTTCCAGGCTGTGTTTTACTCATGTCCGCAGATTCATGTCAGTATAGTTGGCCTCTGTCCTCGATTGCTCAATCAGGTCGGCGACCGGGTCACCTTTACGGAAGCACCTCTTGCTGGCTTGCTGTTTGCCTCAGTAAATCTTGCGGCGAGGGCAGAGCTCAAGAACACAACAGATCCGGCAGAGTCCAGCATGCCAGGTGCAACTGGGGTCCAGCTTGCAGGCCGATTCGAACTGCATGAGATTTTGTTCGAAGTTGACCCTGCTACTCATTGCTACGAGGCTTGGAAGGACCAAATTGTCGGAACCATTGCTGAAGCCGTCAGCCTACAGCTTGCATTTTCGCGTGTTCATCGTCATGCAGATATATGCAGATTGAAAATCGTTCGACAAGCGGAGTTGATGAGGTGCTAGGCGCAGCGAGCGAAGAGCGGCGTTATGTGCTGGCCTTGCAACATAAGTTGCAGCACAAATGCCAAGCCTTGTGGGACCGATGTTGTGCTTCTTATGGCCTTATGGTTCAACAGTAGAAGATTGAAAGAGGCACATGAGCTGAACTCTTGCATGTAGACGAAAGTTGCCCTTCATTTGTCGACATTTCGCAGCAGTCCCGGTCCCTCGCATGAGCATCGGCTACAGCTCATCTTCGCCCTGCGAGCCTCGTAGCAGCTCAGCTCGGATGTCAGAGGAACGCCAAGGCCAAGGCTATTGCAGCGAGGCGCCGCCTCGCCACGCCTCGCCTTGGAGATGTGAGGTAGAAGTTGTGTCGTCGAGTCGTGCGTGGAGCTGCGCCCTCGGTTGCGATTACTACGATGGCGCCTGCGACACCACAGTCGCTGCCATTGCCATGACCCGCTACGTCCTCGTTCATTGCCTCTGCCGCTTCAAGCTCTACGCACTCTCTGGCCTTGCCTTGCTACACTTTGCTACTCAGCGCGACCGCTGTCCTGACGCATTTTGTTAATTGCAAGTCTGCCTTCGAGACTCCTTCCTTTGATTTCCGCCGTGATGCTTGAATGGCCAGTTTCTTGCTGCCTCTATCTTTATGACTTTCACCTGTCCCGGGACAAGGATGTCCGTCAAGGCTGTCAAGGGTTTCTTGCGCTGAGGGTTGTGGCACCCGGGCTTGGGAATGAATGTGCCATGCTGCCCTCTCAGTTGCGCCTGCTTAGTCTGCACATGGACAAGCAGTGTGACAAGCATTTGCCTTGTTGTTGTTGCTGCTGCTGCTGCTGCTGTTGTTGTTGTTGTTGTTCCGCAATGTGCGAGAGAGATAGGGAGAGAGATGACAACAGGGTCAATGTTGAAAAATATCGTAACATTCAGCGTTGCCAGGTGGCCGATGCCGCGCAGCTCATAGAGCAGTGGAATGGCGTCAAGAACAATTTTAAGCCACTCACACCAATCACTTCAGCCTACCGGCAGAGACTCGGCAAGAGATCGCATCTTCCTTTGGCAAGCGACCAGATCTCCTTGAAGAGACAGCACAGCATGTATGAGGCACTGTCCAGGCCTGCAAGACCATGTTAGTGTGCATGCTTCTGTGCAGAAGGTTTCCTGCTGTAGGAGAACTGACCAAGCAAGATATCACTCCTTCGCGGTCTGTGAGAATGGCTTCTCTCTGGGGGGGGGGGGGTTGGGGGCAATAGACGCAAGTAACCTGCTGTTCCCGGGGTTTCTGGCATCCCACTCTAGATTAGAAGAAAAGCCCAGCACTTGATGCGACGTCCTGCAGTGGGGATCTAGAATCTATTTGCTTAATTATCGCAATTGAAGTGCCCGAATCGGGACAGGTTTTCTCATGGGTTCGTCTCTGTCTGGGGATGTTGTCGCTTTGGACACCGCGCAAGACGTGTATCGGAGTGCTTGCAGCTCGAGGCCGATGACAGGAAGAGGGGCCCAACGATAGAGCAGAACGACTGCCAAGGTGCTCCTTGAGAAGCTGGCCCGTAGGGAATTCCGAGCAGCCCCTGACATCTGCAAATGTTTCCTTGTCCTAGGAAGGATGTTGGCATCTCGGGCGATCCCAAGTTTCACGAGATGAAACACTTCCTCACGAGCCACCAACACCAGGCCTGCAGAGCTAGCACATTGCTTGAACAAAAGCTGGAAGCCGAAATGACAAGCCCAGCAGGGGTGAGGGTAGCTGCAAATATATATGTATGTATATGTATACATATGTAAACATGTATACACACACATATAACATTAATATATATATATATATATATATATATATATATATATATATTAATATATTAATATATTATATATTAATATATTAATATATATTATATATTATATATATATATTATTATATATATATATATATATATGCATATGCTGCATTTGCATGTATGTCTCTCTCTCTCTCTCTCTATATATATATATATATATATATATGTATATATATATATATACATATGGAAGGTTGAAGCTTCGTGTTTTTTGGAAGGACACAAGTTCTAATCGGAAATGGCAACTTCTTATGTACATTGCGGCGTCCTGGCGGAGCGTGGCGAACGACCCGAAGATGCATCCGCATTGCGAAGACGCATTCGTCAAAAGAGGCCTAATAGGCGCAGACGCATTCCGAAGACGCATTGGAAGGCGCAGACGCCTTGGGAGGCGAAGACGCATTGGGTGGCGCAGGGACATTGCGAAGATACATTGGATAGGCGAAGACGCATTGGGAGAGCGAAGACGGCTTCAGAAGACACATTGCTAGGCTATACGGTTCAGGTAGGCGCAGACGAGCAGAATGCGAGGGCAGCGTCACATGCATGACTCGCATGACAGTTTGCTGAGCATGGGTTCCGCAAGAGATCTGATGTTAAAATCAGGGTTCTCCATCAGTCCAATTCTCCACCCCGGGAGATTCAGTTGTATAAGAGTTCGGCTTATGAGGGGTGTGCGCCTACTCGTCCATTGGTTGTGTGGCCAACAGGACCAAAAAACAACCTACCCCCCAAGTCCATCTCCATACGTGCTCCTTATTGAGGGGAGGAGCACGTATGGAAATCGCGTGAAATGGCTCACTGTCAATCTTCGGTCACAAGTACCGTAGGCATCCTCACTAGATCAGCGGCGCCCCCACCGGTCCAAGGCTTAATACCGGAGTTCAAGGTTTGTGAGAGTTCTGATTTAAATCCCAGGGGAGCGCTCCATCAGTCCAAGGCCTTATCAGCCTTATCCTCGGAGTTCAAGATCTATAAGACAAGAGTTCAAGGCCCCACGCCCGGAGTTCAAGATCTATACGAGTTCTGCCTCAAAAACCAGGGTAGCCCCACCAGTCCATGGCCCTGTCCTCGGAGTTCAAGATCGAAAGAGTTCTGATTTAGAAATCAGCGGCACGCCATCAGTGCAAGCGATCAGGACCTATAATAGTTCTGATTTAAAAATCAGGGGCGCCCCAGCAATTTTGTGAGAGTGCTGATTTAGAAACAGGGGAGACCCATCAGTGCAAAGCTCTCCTCGGCCTTCAAGCTTTGTAATTGTTCTGATTTCGAGATCAGGAGAGCCCAATCAGCCAAAGGCTCCACTCTCGGAGTTCGAAGGCTTGTAAAAGTTCTGTTCAAGAATCAGGGCTGCCCCATCAGTCCAAGGCCCCACCTTAGGACCTTAGGAGTTCAAGATCTGTAAGAGTTCTGATTCAATAGACCAGAGGTGCCCATCAGTCCATGGCCCTTTTCTCGGAGTTCAACATCTATCCGAGTTCTGGTTAGAAATCAGGGGCGCTCCATCAGCCCAAGGCCCCACCCTCGGAGTTCAAGATCTGTAAGAGTTCTGATTTGAAGGTCAGGGGCGCTCCATCAGTCCAAGGCCTTATCCTCAGAGGTCAATCCTCAGAGGGCAAGATCATGCAAGATCTATCAGAGTTCTGGGTGTAAAATCAGCGGCGCACCATCATTGCAAGGCTCTATATCCTTGGAGTTCACGATCTATAACAGTTTTGATTTAAACATCAGGTGCGCTCCATCAGTCCAAGGCCCTATCCTCGGAGTTCAAGATCTATAAGAGTTCTTGAATCAGGGGCGCCCCATCACTCCAAGGCCTTTAAGAGTTCAGATTTCGATATCAGCCGACCCAATCAGTCAAAGGTCCCACCCTCGGAGTTCAAGGCTTGTAAGAGTTCTGATTTAAAAATCAGGGGTGCCCATCAATCCAAGGCCCCACCTTCGGAGTTCAAGATCTATAAGAGTTCTGATTGAATAAATCAGGGCTGCCCATCAGTCCAATGCCCTTTTCTCGGAGTTCAACATCTATCAGAGTTCTGATTTGAATATCAGGGGCGCTCCATCAGTCCAAGGCCTTTTCGGCTTTATCCTCGGAGTTCAAGATCTATAAGACAAGAGTTCTGCAGGGTTGCCCATCAGTCCAAGGCCCTATCCTCGGAGGTCAAGATCTATAAGAGTTCTGATTTGAAAATCAGGGGCCCACCCTCGGAGTTGAAGATTTGTAAGGGGTCTGATTCAAAAAAATCAGGGGCGCGCCATCAGTCCAAGGCCTTATCAGCCTTATCCTCGGAGCTCAAGATCTATATAAGACAAAACTGCTGATATAAAATTCACGAGCACCCCGTCAGTCCAAGCCGTCACCCTCCCTCGAGTTCAAGATCTATTATCAGTTCTGCTGCAAAAAATCAAGTTAGCTCCATCAGTCCAAGGCCCTTCCCTCGGAGTTCAAGATCGATAAGAGTTCTGATTTGCAAATCATGGGCACGCCATGAGTGCAAGCCCCCTCTCGGGGTTCAGGAGTCCAGCTCAAGATCTGTACAGGTTTTGATTTAGAAATTACGGGCGCCCCATCAGTCCAAGGCCCCACCCTCGGAGATCAAGATCTGTAAGTGTTCTTTTCTACACATCAGGGGCGCACCATCAGTTGAAGGCGTCATCCTCAGAGTTCAATATCAGAGTTCTGTTTGAAAAAGCAGTTGCGTGACACCAGTTTCTAGGCGCAGTTCCAGCGCAAATCGGCGCATTCCGGCGGAATCCGCGAATTGTGTCGCAATCAGCGCATTCCGGCACATGTCCGGCTGCGGCCACTGAGCCTGCACGAAAGAGCTTACAGCATCTGCAGCCACAATTGGATCACGGCTTCGAGGACTCCACAGGCTGGCAGAGCTGAGCCCTTGTCGAG